CTGAAAATTTTGAAGAAAATCGTGCTCTCGTGCGGAGCATCCTCAAAAAGTCATCGATGTTTCATCCAAAATTGCGCTCCCGTGCGGAGAATCCTCAAAATTCGATCAGTTTTTCAGTAATTTTCAGTACATATGCATGTACATACATACATACATACATACATGCATACATACATACATACATACATACATACAACATACACACATACATACATACATACATACATACATGCATACATACACACATACGTACATACACACACATACACACATACATACATACATACATACATACATACATACAACATACACACACACACATACATACATACATACATACATACATACATACATACACACATACACACATACATACATAGATACATACACACATACATACACGCACGCATGCGTGCATACATCAGAGGTATGTTTGGCGCCTTGCTTGATAGATGCGGAGCTGCAGGAGCGGTGATAAAGAGAGAAGGGGAGAGAAAGAGAGAGAGAGAGAGAGAGAGAGAGAGAGCTTCCACGCACTTTTGACGCCTGCTTTGATTCGTATCGCGATTATCGCTTTCCATGTCAGACTGGTGTCCAAATTTGATGCTGCAGGCCACCGACCCGCTGCCTTCCCATACCGGGTCGCACAGCTCGGCCTGCGACACCGCGGAAGAATCCAGCACCGCAAGAACATTACCCGGGCAACGCGTGCCCAGCGAGCTGGGCCGTCTTGACAGCGAGTCACCGAACGTTGGGACGCTACCTTTTCAGGTCCTTGAAACAGAAAAGAACCCTCAGCCTTATCCTGCAGAGTCTCATCGATTACTGCCAGAGATAGTGAGCGAGGGTGACCACATCGCGGACGGTTCGGCTATTTTCGGTCATGCTCAGCAACCAAGCATCAGACTTGGCGAACTGCAAGCAGTACCGTTTGGCGAACAAACGCCAGTCGCGCGCAAGACTGCGCGCGCCACGCCAGATCTGCGACCACACTGTTTCTTTTTCGGTCATCTGGCGCAGACACGAAACTCTTGATAGCACATTTTTTTATTACACGCTGCAGTGGCCTTTCCTGCGAGTCGTGCATGTCGGAATTCCTTAAAAAAATGGGATGAATCGTGCGACCACTGCGTACACCATTGTGTACTCGAAGATTAAAGTGACCTTCGCATGCTTCGGAATCATCCTGCACGACTTCGAAGTGCAACAAGCGCTCCACTGATGCATTTACGAGACGCTGGAACCTGACAATTCTACGAGCTGTTGCGTTCTGCAGATCCGCATCCAACCATACACGATTGCTTGCTGCCAGATCCGCATCCAACCATACGCGATTGCTTGCTGCCATGTTGGACAACACAGACACCGAAAAAGTCTGCCCGAAAGCAACGAGACGATCACTGCGCAAATGGTAACAGGAAATGGGTCCGGGATCTTGTCGTCCAAAGCTAAGACTCAGGAAGCCGATCACTGCTCGAAGTTGAACCTCAGGATGCTCAGGGTGCTGTTGTGATTCTTGGTACACGGCACTCTCCCGGGACGCATCTTGTGATGATCCCGACGAAGACAACGGGCTAGATTCCCCTCCATGAAGAGGATCTGGCACATCACCGACGTAAAGGCTGGGCTCAAAATGCCGCATTGTTAAATACGACAGCAAGTGAGGAAGCACGGCACGGCATCTAACATGATATCAAACGAGCAAGCAAATTTGAACCTGGCGATAGAAAACAAACACATAGACCAAAACTCATGCCCTCGCTCAGAGTACATCCAAGCACGCAAATCGTCATTTTGCACATGGACAGTTCTGGCGTCGCCTCAGCCTTTTAGCGAGCACGAAAACATTATTCGAAGCCCGAATTGTCTGCACATTACGCAGCCCATCTTGAACAGCAAAGCTGACGACATTCCTCAGCAGGTTCCCCAGAGCGCCACAGTCACCACCATATGCAGCACAGCCCCATGTAATAACTGCGTGATCAAACCAGATAGCAACAAAAGCACAAACAGTAGCTTGGATCGCCCGCACACTTCGCAGCTGTTCGCGAACGGCACTACAGTCGCCCCCACACCGAGCGTCGCCCCATGCAACGACAACACCATCAGAGCGAATAGCAACAAAAGCACGATCACTGGCTTGGATTTGCAGCACGTTCTTGAGCTCAGCCTGCACAGCAGCGCCATGCCCGCCACACCTTTCATGGCCCCCAGGTAAAAACCGAACCATCATTCCCAATAGCGGCAAAAACATTCTCCGCAGGGCAAGCTGTGAGGAGCAGGCAGCTGACAAAACACGGATGGCAAGCTGCAAGGGGAGCGCAGCTGGGGAAACAACGCAAACCCGCAAGCGGCAGCTGCCGGTGAGAAAGCGAGGCAGGAACCGCAGGCTGCAGGGCGGCCGACAGGAAAGCACCAAATGGCAAGATCTGCCAAGCGCCAAAAAGCACGTCTGGAAGAAGCCTCAGGGGAGAGCGGAAGAACGGCAAGCAATCTCAGCAACCCAAATCATGACCGCTGTCAATGAGAGACGACGACAAGCGCATATGCAAAAAGTGCCGCTAACGAAGAACTTGATAGGACTCCTCTTTGTATCACGTCTTGTGATCAGAGGATGTCACTTACCAGCATACACCAGGGCCTGCAGCGGTTTCCCTTGACAGAGAGGGGGTTACGGCTGCGCTGGGGGACCCGGCTCCAGCCCGACGAGCACCCCCAGAGCACCCTCTCCTCCCCCCTGCTGCAGGGTGACAGTGCCCGTCGTCCTTCTTCCCTCCCTGTTTGCTAAGGACTTTGCCTCATTTTGCTCTGGCTGCTGCAGGATTTCCGGTCCCAAGGTTGAACAAGCTAAAAAGTTGGACGTTTCAGCTGAATTTGAAATCTTGACATCCATTTCATAAGATCAGATGAACCACGGCAATAGTTCATAAGCTGCTGAAAACTGTAGAGGAAGACATTCACGCTTCCAATCACAAAGAAGGCGGGCTTGAAGAATGCCACGCCGTCCTCTTTGCCTTTCAACAAGTCCCTGTCCAGGATCTTCTTGTAAATGACTCTTCATCCAGTTCAGATATGTCGCGCCAGTCATGTATTGCATCTTTATATTCAAGCCATGATGTTTTCCCATCGAGTGAAGGTGGTATTTTTGTCGTCACTTGGGAGAACTGGCTCATTCGAGTTACATTAAGTCGTGTCACGCATATCTGTGTAAAAATCATTTGCCACGGCTTCTAGGCGGGAGCCCTCTCCTTTCGAGCCCCGTGTGCGTTGGGGTACTTTGGGGTACCTCACAGTGGTCAGAAACTCCCCTGCAGAAGACCTCCGCTACCACGTTGATATTGGCCCAAGCGTGAACTACCTCACTACAGTGTACAGTAGACAGGCGAGCGGGCGTCTCATTTTCCACCACGTGCTACTCGAGTATGAACTCCCTAGAACCTCGAGAGCGGCAACAACAACATGCAGTTGTGTCACATGAACTGTACATGGAGTGATAGCAAAGCAACAGAACTGCAACTTCATCATGGAGAGGGTTTTTTTCTGCGGGGGCGGGGCGGTCGGGGGCTTAAGGTGGTGGAGGGGTGGTTGGGGGCAGCGGTTTTAGACCGCTGTTTCCAGTTTTCAGCTTCTTCTGTGGGTCAGCCCCTCTACACGTATTGACACATGTTAAACTATTGCATGCTTGCAAAGACTAGCGGTATAAGCCTCGGAGCGTCAGACTTGCAGATCTTACGCTGGCTTACTGGCTCGACACGAAGCCGGTGCAAGTGGACAAAATAAAATCAGAAGGGGCAGCCAATCGCCAATGCCTTGGACTGGGTGGGATGTGGAGTGGGCAGCGCAAGTGGGCTGGAATGACGTTGCTTTTAGTATCTGCAAGCTCTCCCCACCGGCGCCTTCACGACGCCCCTGAGCCTGAGAGGCAACATGCAACTGCGCAACTGCAAAAAAAGAGCAAAATGAATCATGCAAAAATGCAGCTGCTCTTCGTTTGTGCTTTAAACGCGACTCCCCTCCTACACCCTCCTAACAAAAACTAGGAACACTCTAGGAACTATCGATAGTGGCCGTCCCGGGCGCAGCTCGGACTTGGTGAGGCGGCCGGAGCTCTGGAAGTCGAAGAACCCAAACCAGGCCTCGGCGCCTTTGGCGAAAAGTTTCAGAAGTTGGAGAAAAGGGAAAAAAGAGAAAGGTATTGGATAGAGGAGATATGACTACTCATGAAAAATGCAATGACGTTGCGGTAAGCAAAGTGTTGGCAGAAGAACGGTTTTGGGGGTCCCCGGCACTCCAGGGAGGGCGGCTGGCCCAATTGGCCTCGGCAGAACACCAAAAAAAGCCACCAAAAAAGCACTTAAGAAGGGAGCAACGCGCAACCCGCAACACATGCAACACGAAAAGAGATTTACAGACAGAAAGAAGGGAAAACAACTTAAAACCGAAAGAAGAGACAGAGTTGAAAGAGAGGGCGAGAGAGCGAGTTGGGTCCCCGTGCTGTTGACCTTTTGCTCCAGGAGATGGCTGCTGAGCCAGGCTAGCATCCCTCCAGGCCTAACAGGGCCTAACACAACCAACTCAACGAAACACACGAAACACATCAACAGTTGTTGAATCGCCTCAAGAAATCCTTCTCCAGCAGGCCCTCCTTCTTGCCTCCGCACCAGGCCTCGCGTCGCTCGCGTAACCGGCAAAAGGCTCCCGGTTCTCATGAGAACACACCACTTGCAGCACAGTGGTGCAAGTGGTGCACTTGCACTGTGCTCAGGCCGAGGCGGGCCAAAGCTCTTGGAAGCTACCAGTAAAGCTCGAGACGTTCACCTGAAGCTTCGGCGCTTCGCTTCTCCCTTTCTGGGTTTTCTGTTTCCGCTTGGGCCAAGTGCCGGGAGCAGCGCGGCCAAGGTGCCGAGTGCCCACTTCTCCTACTTTTTTGGTCAGGAGTCTCACTCGACTCTGAGGGGAGATCCCGGCGTGGCATTTCGCTGCATGGCGTGTTGCGGATCCGTAAGGTATCTTGGCCTCTCCTTCAACACCAAGTTCTCCGCCCTGGCCTCTTTGGGATCCTGGAAGGCTAGCGCGCAGCGTGCGCCTTGAGTCCGATTGCTTCCGAGTTTTCGGTCCTCTGGGACGCAAGCTAAGCGGAAGAATGCCTTCGGGTCCACCGTGGGGTCTGTCAGCCGCACCTGAGGATTTCTCCAAGAGACACTTGACATCTTCTGCCTCAGATCCTCGCATTTCACAAATTGATCCCACATCTCCTCTCCAGGAGATTCTCTCCATCCTTCTACTTCTACTTAAAAGCAGATGCATCTCCTCCTTCTCTCCCTCCTCCTCCCTTTCCCATCTCTTCTCTCTCATCTCTCCTCCGTTTAAGCCCCGGGCCGCGGCCTCGAAGGGGGCCCGGCAGAGCGGACAGACCGGGCCCGGGGGCCGCGGGATGCGGGGCTCGCGGCCTGGGAGAAAAGGAAGAAGCCGACCCTCTTTCAAACCCAACCAACCTCTCTTTTACACAAAAAAAGGTTAGTTTATTCTCCGCTTCTCTTCCTTAACTCTCCTTGAAGGTCTTTTCTCTTCGTCCGCGCGGCGAGCCCGCCAGGCGCGGAACCGCTCCCCGGCCTGCGCTCGAGAGCAGAAGAGCTTGGACTGAGCTTGGGCAGAGTAGGCTTAGCTGGCTCCGACCTCGTCCTGGACATGCTCTGCACAGTTGAGGCAGGTGAAGTGGCCGCAGACCCGGAAACCATGCCTTCTCTCAGAGCTCAAGCTTCAGCTCTACAAGTCTCCCTTTCTTGGGGCCGGGCTCGTTCACAAAGATCCTTAGGTTGACTCCATGGATCTCCAGAGCGGCTAAGCCAAAGGCTCAGCCTAAGATCTCTGAGATGATGGCCCAGGATTGGTGTAAAGCTCTTCCTGACTCTCAGCAGTTCAGACTCTTTCTTTTGCAAACGGAAGCCGAGGCACTGGCAAAGCACACGCTGCCTGAGATATGAGAGCATTGAAAATCACCCGACCCAACGCGGAACAGACCACCCGAGTAGCGCAGCAGGGGTGAGTTTTTGTAAAAAGCGGAGTATATATGTTTGACAGCTATAAATTCAGAGGCTTTAAAAGTGTGACTGACGGTTGGCTTCGTGGCTTCGGCTTCTCGGCTCTCTGAGCTCTCCGAGGCTCTCTGAGGCTCTCTGAGCTCCTTGGCACTCTGCAGGATGCTCCCCGTTGACGCCGTCCACCAGCTCAAGGAGGGGAGGGCCTCAAAGCGCCAACGGCACCGTACAGCCTGAGCCTAACAGCCGACAGGGGGCTTAAGCCCCCTTTCCCTGAAGCCGAGCCGCCTTCAGAGTGCTCGTTGCTGCGGGCCTTCCACATCACCTCAGCACGACCTCTTCCAACATCTTCTCCCCTCGTCCAACGCCTCGCCTCCAAAGCCTCCCGAACGATCTCTGTCCGCCCGTGGTCGAGGCCTGAGCAAAAAAAAAGGTAAGTTCAGGGAAGAGTCAGAAGGCGCCAGGAAGGCGCGTCTGGCGCCAGGCAGGTGCGGAGTGCCAGGTCCATGTCCTTGGTGTCCTCACGCAGGTCACCTCAAGTCATCTCTGCAACCTCCAGGTTGACCGGTTGACCGGTTTGAGCTCTCCTCGCCGAGATGGGCCAAGCAGGACCTGTGCTGACTCCAAGTTCATGACTTCTTCGTCATTCTTCGCGGGAGTTCAAGCTATATCAATTTGACATGCTACTGCACACATGAAACCTTCTGTTCGACTCACGATTGCACTGATCACACTGCAGCCATTCTAGAGCGTTTCGTTGCAAAAGCCGCATGAAGCTCTGCGAATGCCTGGCCAAGCCCGCGTGGCCAGCACGCAAGGCGTAATCCAACAGCAGCCGTGGTGGCACAGGCCTCGGAATCACAAAGGACACATGAGCCCTCGCTTTGGCAGCCGGTATTCAGCAAGAGCTTTCACGCAACAATCACAGGAGATGAGCAAACCAGCTCAAACACCGCGGTAAAGACACCCTCGTCCTATGCAGCACACGCTTACAAAGCGAAAGACTTGCTATTTGGGCATTGAGTGCTGGGCAGTCACGATCTTGCAAATTCTGCTGAGCTCGCAAACATGGTTCAACTACTCGCTGCTGTGCCTATACCCGGCATAAATGTTGAGCACCCTGCCTTTGCAAGGTGCAGAAGATAGTCTTCATTTCAGTCTGGTGTTTTGCTAACAGTTCGTAGGAATTCTGCATGCCAAAAATACACAGAGGTTTCACACGATAGTTTCGCCTGGATGCGGGGGCCGTGGCTGAATGCGGTGGCAGCGGCGGTGGGGGTAGGGGCGTTGGGGGCATTGGGGGTGGCGGCGGTGGCGGCAGTGAACGGTGGCTGCGCGGGCTGGCAAGGATTAGTATGATGGGAAGGGTCCTCGCCCCCTGTCTTGATCCTTTCCTGTTTGTGTCCGAATCCGGGCCCCCGTTGAGATTGGCCCGTGTGTGGATTACTTCACAAAGTGTACAGTAAGCAGGCAACAGG